TTTGGAATCTTTAACTTAAAATCACTCGTGTGGGCAGAGGAGCTCATGAGCCATCACCAGGGATGTCTGAGGGAGGGTGAGCTGGGCACCAGGCAGGCTGGAGGCAAATTAACTCGTTAGGCCACCGGCTCGTCAGCTCCTTTCGCTCCCTTTGAACAGCACAAAATTCCTACTCGTTAGTCACTACTTATACAGTTGCACACATATTCTTTCTTAAGCATTCACATATTTTATGAAGTCAGAAAAGACTTTTAAGATGCAAAAAAACCCCCGATGGTTTTAATGAGTGTAACAATAAACAGGCAGAGACTAAAGCGTGGCAGTCCTGGGGTCAAACCCACATGGAATTTCCACTGGCCTCAGCTCAGAGGAGCTTCAAGCCCGTGCTTTCACTTCCAGATCACGCTGGACGGGTGAAAACAGAGTTTTTAGTCAGGCTTCACATATAAATGGAGAGTTTTGGAGTACTGGGGGTCGCTCGGAGCTCGTCGTGTGCTGGGCGCTGCTTTGGTTCAGTTTTTGCAGAGGAACCCTCTGGTTTGGTGGTTCCTGCTGGCATCCAGCACAGAACTTTCTTCACATGCCTTTACATTTAACTGGGGCAGCTTAATTGTTACTCACTGAAAGCCCAAATCTGCAGCAGAGGCATCACTCTACTCCAGGGAGAGGACCTGAGATTTAAGAGCTGGCAGGGAGAGACCCTTATGCAAGGGCAGGAAGATCATTCAGAAGTATTCATAAAACACGAGGCAAATCTTGAAATATTTATTAAAAATGAAGTTTGACTGTTAATTCCCCCTCACACATCACCCGTGAAGGAGATTCTAGAGATGGGGAAATGAAACCACAACGCCAGTAAGTGATTTGCCCGAGGCCTCAGCTGTAAATCAGGCTCTGAACTGGAGAGCAGCTCCTCCCTCAGTTGCCTGTCCCCAGACAGAGATGCCACCTGGGAGTGATGCTCATCAAGGTCCCAGCCCTCTGTTCTGCAGGGAGATGAACCCTGCAGCTACACAAGGAGCACAAGGGAGTGGCTGTGATCTCTTTATTTCTCCCAAATCTTACCATGCCATGATGAGAGAACTGGCCTTCTCCATCTGAGGAGTGCTCTCCTGGCCTTATCAATGAGAACACACCTATTTTCAGTGCTTTGTGTAATCAGTGGGGAAAATGATTGGTGTTGGCAGTTTTGTGTTGAGAAAGAGTGTTTAAGTCTCTTTTTGGAGCCTTCCTGGTTCAAGCCCTACCTGTGCAACCACAAGGCCACTGACGACTAGGAGCGCCGTTCCTCCTCCTGGAGGCAAATCCATGGATCTCCATTCCCTTTTGTGAGCTGGTTGGGCTTTGACCCCAGCACCCCTGAGCAGCCAGGCTCCCCAAAACCTCCCGGGCTCCCCCAAGCCGGGGCTGGGTGTCTATCCCCGCTCCGTGCCGTGTCACACCGCGCAGCAGAGCCTGCGGAGCCTCGGCCAGATCCGCTTCCTCCCGTGGGACTCTGCAGATAACTCGCTTGTGTATTAAAAGTTGTTTACCCCGTGCTCAGAGCAGGATGCTTTCCTTATCTGCAGGCTGAGCAAATTCCCCCCAGTGCCTCCTCACGTCATTCCTGGCCCGCTCCTGGCTCCGGGCTCGGCGCTGGTGGCTCTGCGTTATCTCCGGGCTGCAGCACAGACAGACCCTGCCTGGAGCAGCCCCCGGGCTCGGCAGCACCGACACCAATGGCTTCAAAGGCTCCAAATTGCCCCTGTAATTTGAATCTTTAACGACACGTGGAAAAATCCCCAGGAGCTGGCCTGTGTCGTGTCTGCGAACAGGCTTCGTAAATACCACGCTGAGGAATTTGGATACTCTCGTGTGTGTGTCGGTGATGGATGTTTGTATCCTAAAATAATGCATTTTCTGCTTTTCTCTGTCTCTGAAGAGCAGTTCAGATCCACTGTGCAGCTCCTTTTCCTGACCCTTCCTTACCTCCAGCTCCTGTCCAGTCGTACCTCACCAGTCGTACCCGCACCAAGGGCAAAGTTTAGCCCCCCTCCCTAATTCCCAAGCCAGCGGGATCTGGTGGCTCCTCCTGGGCCACCACTGTGGTCAAACCCCCGTTCCTGTCTGCCTGAGATGCAAAAGCCACAGATGCAGAAAGTCCAGATAGAAAAAAGCTCGATGGAATGTATTTATCTGAAAACAATAGTGTGTCTGGATGGAAAAATCAGCATTTTACACCAATCATGTGGTTGTTATTAATGTTTTCCAAAACACCCAGAGGTACCTTGTGTGTTAAGTAAGAGCAGCCTGGACTGTTCTGCTTAAAAAGCAAAAAGTGCATCTCTGCCCCCAAAGCTGCTCTTGTGTTCCAGCCCTGCCCTGATGCCCAGATGGGACCAGAGGAATTTCCTGTTCCCCCAAATCTGCAGTCACGGGGCTCCATTTCAGCCCAAGACGCTGCAGCAAATCTTTATGGGTGCATTTCAACACTTCTTTTCAACACTCCTTTTCCAGTCCCTTCCTTAAAGCAGTCCTGGAAGTGTGGATGGAGCCTGAGCTGTGGCCCTGGCAGCCCTGCTTGGCTTTCAGCTGCCATGTGGGCTGAGGTGCCATTCCTGGCGCTGGTGTGCCGGATGGAATCCTGTGCCACGTGCTCTGGGATGACCCTCTTGAGCAGGGAGGTTGGACCAGATGACCCCACCAGTGGTCCCTTCCAACCTGATCCATTCTGGGGTTCTGTGCTCTGGGGGGATGTTGAGGGACACCGGTGGGGACGATGCTCACAGACAACGCTGGGCGGTGCCGTGGGCTCCAGCTGGGTTTTACAACCTGTGCTCTGACCAGCACAGAGCTGCCACGAGGAGGGATTGTTTGAAGCTGCTCCAGCAGCGCAGCCGAGCTGGAGGGTTCATTTCCTCGGCCGTGGCGCTGCGGCAGCCCCAGAAACCCAAGATGCACTGATAGCCATGGAGCAAGGATTTCCATTTTCGGTGCGGGCTCAGACTTAAAATAGACAGTCTTGAGCGAGGAAGAAACTCTGTTGACAGAACATAGGGAACATTCCTCCAGTGTACTTTTGCAAAGGACTATCTCTGTCTTTAATCTCCACGGCGTTTCCTGCAGGTCTCCCGGGCCCAGCTTCCCTCTCATTGTTAGTGGCGCTTTTGGAAATGACCTCAGGCAGTTTGCAGTGACTGGCGACCCACGGTCAGAATGACTAACCCAGTCTGTCTCCATCCCTTGGACATGTCCCATTGACTAAATAAATGACAGGCACTGACATGTGAATAGAAACAAAAACAGCCTGACAAGTGAAATCTTAACTCTTTGGAGCAAAGAGACGTCTGGACGCGGGTTCATCCTGCCCATGGAGCGAAGGGAATCGCTCCAAAAAGTCCTGACAATGGTAAAAATGCAGCCAGCTGCCCCTGAGCTGCTCAGGACACATGCAGATTGGGTAGACAAACACCTCTAATATTATTTTTAATTGTTGAAAATTGTTTTCTGCAGCTTTTTATCTCTGCACATCTTTAATTAAAAGGGCAGCTCGGTGTTTATGTGGCCATTTGGGTGTCTGGGCTCAGCATGAATAATTCCACCAAACGTTACGATCAAGGGTCAGCGATGAGAGAGGCTGTCACAGGATCCCAGCCCTGTGTTGTGCCCATAACTCACCACAGGTGAGCCTATAGGGGCTTCCTGCCATTCCTATTCCCACCTTTTGCACATAACCACCCATTGGAAAGGTGATCCTGGTTCTCCAAGCCTGTATGGACCCCACTGCAGTCAGCTTTAGGGAGGATGGAAGGGGGATGTAGGTTATAGGGGGGATGTAATTTGTAAGAGGGATGTATGGATTTATAGATTTATGGATTTATGCCCCTCCTAACTGGGGACTGTCAGGCTTTGAATTCCTCATCTTGCCAAGCTCCCTCCAGTCCCCACCCCAGCTAAGCCACACCAGAGTTTGGGAACATGCCCTGCCATCCCAGCATGATCTATTTTTTAGGGCCCAGACCAGCTGCCTTTGAAATCTAACAATAGTTTTACCAATATGAATAGAATTAGTGTTAATAAGCTACATTTGTGGATTTTTTTCTTGGTTGGAAAAGTAGGAAAGTATTCTCTTTAATATCATCAGAATAGATTTTAAATGCCGTAATTACAATAATTAATAATGCTGCTTAGCAGTTATTAGCACTGGGTGCATTGTTAAGATGTCTGTGTTAGCTAAGGTTTAATAATGAGCTTCACAGAAATCCAAAAAGAAGAAAATAATGATACGGGGAGTGGTTGTGGGGCTGTGGTCTGATGGCTTCTTGCTTTAATGTAAGTAACAAATAATTCCCTCTGGCTCTCAGCATTTGTGGATAAGGCCATAAAAAAGGAGGAGGGGAAAAAGGAGGAGGAAACCTCAGCTAATAAAAATGCCACCGTGGTTTAAGGACCAGGAGGAGTGTTTGTTGTTTGGCTGATGATGATGGAATAACCCTTGTGGGGACGGATGGCTCACGTCACCCTGTGCTCCTGCCCATGGAACGTGTGTGTGGGGAGCACAGGGATGGTCCTCACTGAGATCTGGGTCATTGTCACACACCTCGTGTCACAAGGAGAGGTTGTGGGCACAGCCCTTGGCTTTGGGATGTGTTGGCAGGTCCTAACCTGGATTTGGGGATTCTTCTTTTTAATGCAGCACAATTTATTGTCTTTCCTTCCAAATGACTGTTGTCCTTAGCTGGTGTTGAGCAGCTGCTGTCCCACCACAGGGCTGGGTGAAGCTCAATGAAGAGAGAGATGGTCCCATGAAAAGTGGGACAAGAATTACTGGGACCTGATTCCTGCAGATCCAACACCCAATCCCTCAGCCAAGCTCTTCTACACTTTCCTCTCTCTCTCTCGTTGCATGTTTGGTCTTGGTTCACCACATCTGATCACTGAGCATCAATCATTTACCAGTGAATAAAAAGAGGCTGAGAACTAAAACCCACTCACCTTATGTAAAATTTGTTTCCTATCAGGTATCATCACCAAGTTTCTGCTCCTGGCAGCGCTCCATCCTCTCCTTCTCATCCCACGTTACTCCAGGACAGCCTGCTGGGTCATGGGAAGCTGTTTCCAGCCAGCAGGTCAGTTTTCCATCCCTGTGCCAGGTCGGTTCTAACACGGGCTGAATTTGGGAAGGGTGGGCAAGGATGGTGAGGGATGGTCCCAGGTCATCACCCACCTAAGGTAAATAATGGTCAGATTTTGGCTGGGAACTGTCCATGGAAGGTGAAAGGTGCTACACCAGTTTACACCCTCCAAGGGCTTGACTCACCAAAGTACCAGTGAAAGAGTTTAGTGTCATAAATCCATGTCCATGTCATAAATGCTATGGAAAATCCCAGTCATGGTGCCCAAAGGATGGAAAGGGGTCTGCAGAGAGCACCTGCACCCCCAGAGCTGCCTGGCATACCCATGTGTGGCTGTGCTGGTGGCCAGGATGGCTCCCAGCAGGGAGAGGTGCTGCTGGCACCCACGGAGCCTTAGGGAAGGAGCTGCTGCTTCTGATCATCTCGCAACAGCCTGGGATGTCAGAGCCAGCAGATTCCTGGACAGAGACGGCTTCTCGGCACAGTTGGAGACCAACAGAAGGACCAACCCCTGAGGGTGCCTGCTCAGAGAGGGGTTTTCTCATTCCATGGTGTGGCAATGGGATGGAGAAGATTCCCTGGAGACCCGACTGGCTTCCAACACCATCTCCATTCTCAGCAAAGCCTGTGCCGGGTGTCGAAGTAACAACTGTGCTACTGCTGGGCCAAACCATGTCCTGCTGTGTCCTGGTGTCTATTTAAGGGTGATTTGCTCTCAGTAACACCCAGCAGTGCCAATGACTTCAGGGTCAGCTCCTTTCCTCCCTAATCCTGCTTTCTATTTTCACATACTTCTGCATGAGCAAGCCCTGGAGATCCCGCTGCCAGCAGAGACACTCGAAACACAGTTTCGACACAGGAGGGGATGCAGTTTTGGTTCTTTAGCAATGAGTGCCTCTGGCTCCCTTTGGTCCAGGCTCAAAACAAGAGAAGACAATATTCTCTTTCTCCCATAATGGTTTTCATGTCCCCATTCTGAGGTTGCAAGAAATTTGGGGAAGCATCAGCTCAGTGCGTGCTGATCCCGCAGCCGCGTCCTGGGACCGGCTTTTGAAGCCTGTCTTTTTTAATCTTCTCTTGCTGGGTTCAGCCTCTCCAGCCAGTGACTCACTCACTATTTCTATTCTCTTCCCACTTCTGTTCCTGCTTCTCTAAAGTTCTGGTCAGTGGCAGCAGCTTTTGCTCATGTCTTGTGGCTGCTTCTCCCCGAGTTATTATTGGAGATGCCTACGAAATAACAGTGCTGCTCTGTCAGACGCTGCTGCACCACTGCAGAAAATATTTACCAAAGCTGTGGTGAGCAGCTCTTTGCTGGAGTGACTGGCGTCTGCTCTGGGGCGGCCCAGACGCCACTCAGTCACTCCAGCAAAGAGCTGCTGCAACACAGCAAATTGCCCAGGGCAGCAGATCTTGGGAAGGGAGAAAAGCCAGCAGCCCAGTCTGTCTGTCTTTGTGTTTTCTGAGGGAGAAAAATTATCTTTTTACAAGCCTGCCCTAGTTGGCTCGGACCAGCCCTTCCCAGAAAATACCCTCAGAAAGAGGAGAGCAAACTATTGCATAAATGGACAGGTTGCCATTTAGGTCTGACCTTTCTCAGGTCTGCTTTGAGGTCAACCTCCCTTCTCCTCCAGCTCCACTGTGTTTTTAGCTCCTTCTTGTAGCAGAACACCACTGGACACAACAAACCTCAATTAAAATCCATTTTGGACCTATATATATATATATATATATACATACATACATACATATATATATATTTACATATAGTCCCTTTGCTCTCTGGACCAGCTCCAAAAAAAATAATCCTTTTTTTAATCCTCCCCCCGCCCGAGGAACTTCCAGTTTTGTGTTTGCAAATTGTTTGGGTAAACATGGAGAGGGGGAAATTTATTTTTTTTAAGGACACTGGGCTTGGCACATTCCACAGTTTGTTGCTGGATCGGCGTGGTGGCAGCACACACAGAGCTGGGCTGTTTTTCTTACTCAAATAGTCCCTTTCCAGCTCAAAAATGACAATTCACCAAAGCCAAGCCAACAGAAAAGTAAAGGGCAGTTTCAGAACTGGGTGTTATCTGCCTGGAAAAGGCTCCAGAAAGGCAGACTGTCTCCACAGGCTGCTGGATAAATGATAAAAGGACAAACTCCCGCGTGCTTGTGAGGGGTGGTGTGATTTTTAGATGGCTCCTCTGGTTGTAATTCCCTTCCTTTGGAGCAGAGCAGCTGGTTTATGTGATATTTGTGTGATACTGCTCAGCTCCTCCAGCCAGAGGGGTTCGGTGGCTGCTGGTCCTCCTGCAGCTGGGGAGGGAGGGGATGAGGCTGAGGGAGAGGAAGAGTTTCTGTAGGTCTGGAGATCCCCAGAGTGCTGTCCTGCAGGTGGGTGGCTGCATTCAGTGTGTCCATCTCTCTCCTGCAGCACCCTCAGAGGCTGCACCGTCCTTGGAGTGGCTGAATGGGACTTTTCCTCCCCATCCCCTTCTCCACCTTATAGAATCATAGAATGGTTGGGGTGGGAAGGGACCTTAAAGATCATCTTTAATGCCATGGGCAGGGACACCTTCCACTAGCCCAGGCTGCTCAGAGCAACATCCAGCCTGGCCTTGGACACTTCCAGGGATGCAGGGGCCAGCCACAGCTTCTCTGGGCAACCTGTGCCAGGGCCTGCCCACCCTCACAGCCAAGAACTTTGTTCTGATACTCCATCTGACCCTCATCTCTGTCAGTTTGAAGCCATTGCCCCTTGTCCTGTCACTCCAGGCTCTTGTCCCAGTTCCCTCTCCCTCTTCCTTGTGGGCTCCTTCCTGCTGGAAGGATCTTGCTCCGGTACCTCCTCGTGCGAGTCCCGGGAGCCGATCCCGGTGCTCACACCCATGGATCCATTGGAGGCTCACAGTCCACCACGAGGTAGGAAATCCTCCTGGATAAGCACTGGATTGAGGCTCAGGAATCAATGCCTTCATCCTCTCCACTCATATGCCTCGTTTTATTGGATCATCCATTCAAAAGGACATGGAAAATGCCTGTCAGTGGCACCAGGGAAGACATGGAAGGTCTGGTGGCAGCCCCGTGTCCGTGGCCAGTGGAAAGCCCACGGGCTGCCAATCACCTTCCCCATGTCTCCAGGGAAGGACTCCACACTTCATGGAGCTCTTCATCCTTTTCTACTTTCCTGAGGTGACTCTGGATTTTCTGAAGGTGTCTGAGGCTGCTCAGGGAGAATTGATCTTCCCAGATGGGATTTTCAGCACCATTGGGAAAGACAGAAGATGCTTCATGTTTCACTGTGTGACTGACACAGTCACCCTATGACTGACCAAGAGCCAAGGTGTCCCTTTGGCTTGTTCTCCCATGGGAAAAGAACTAAAAGTAATCTTCTATTAAGGGGAGAAAAACACTTTTCTCTGCTGTGGAAGCTGGCACTGGGTTTGGATGAGGGCAGCCTTCCTGTCCTAGGAAACCTGAGACACCAGTGCTTTCCTTGGATTGCAGCAGGGCTTTTCTGGGATGGCTTGAGTTTGTTTTCCTAAAAATGAAAGCAGCAGCACAGGGGATAATCCTGTACTCGTGGCACTGCCTGACTTGTGGCTTTTAATCCCTGTTTGTCCTGCCCCAAACTAGGGAGCTGAACCCAAGATCTCAGGGCTCTCATCTCCAGCCTTAAAGTTGGACTCTTTCTCCCTGAATAACTGATTAATTATTTATACAAATTGGCCCAGCTCCACCTAGAAGGGATTTAAAGAAATCCATGTCCCTGCTCCAGGCAGGGGGCCTGTCCTGGGATGGGGACCACCATGGATAGGGGCCACCACCACCCATGAGGACCAGTTGGGAGATGATTTTCCCCCTGTGGGTTTGACTAGAAATCCAGGCTTGCTCCCAAGAAAACTTTTCCAAGCAGCAAACTGGTAGTTTGCTACCGAAAAAAAAAACCCACCAAAAAACAAAACACAACAGAAAACAACCAAACCAGTTTTGGCTTTGCCAAACTGATGTTTTTCTGACCCAAGAAAACATTTTGTCAAAAAAACTTCCCAACTGCTCTGCTGGGAATGTGCTCTTTGCCATCAGTCCCCAAGGCTGGAGCGCCGGGGTGTTGAAATGTTACTACAGCCCTGGAAACTGTGAGTCAGCTTGTCCCCACCCACAGCAGATACTCGTGGGAAGGGCCTTGAAAAGCCTGGAAACTCAGCAGCTCCTGCCTTGTGGAGTTTCCATTAACCCATTAACTTTAATTCCTGGTGAAATGAGGCATTTGGCGAATTTCTGTTGGATTTTGTCTCTTTTTTTCTTCTTCCTGATTCTGATCAGTTTTGGAGGATACTTCCTTTCAGCCCATCCCTGAGCAATTTGGCTGCTGTGGCCCCAGTTCACCCCCCGAGGTCCATGGGCAGCAAACGCAGCACCTGCCGTGGTGCCACCACAAAACTAATCACTGGGCTGGGATTTAAAGGCAGCAAAATGGGCATCTCCTGGCAAGGCAAGAGATGGCCCAGGTTGTCTGGGAGAAGACCTGCGGCTCTGCTCCCGCTGGGAATGCAGCAGAAGCCCTGTGGATGCTCCCAGCCCTGCCAGCAGCTGCCCGTGCCACAGTGGCCGTGGTGTTGTCACACATCAGGGATGCCCCAGGCAGATCCAAGGGTGGGTGTGATGCTGCCCCTCTGCTCTGGAGCCGGGTTGGGAGAGCTGGGGGGGTTCACCTGGAGAAGAGAAGGATCCAGGGAGACCTGAGAGCCACTTCTGGTGCTTAAAGTGGCCCCAGGAGAGCTGGAGAGGGACTGGGGACAAGGGATGGAGGGACAGGACACAGGAAATAGCTTCCCACTGCCAGAGGGCAGGGAGAGATGGGATATTGGGAGGGAATTGTTGGCTGTGAGGGCGGGGAGCGCCTGCACAGGTTGCCCAAGAAGCTCTTGGCTGCCTGGATCCCTGGAGAGTGTCCAAGCCAGTTGGAGCAAACCTGGGATAGTGAGGTGTCCCTGCCTGTGGCAGGGAGTGGAACTCCATAACCTTTAAGGTCTCTTCCAGCCCAAACTGGTTTGTGATTCTACATCCCAGGAGAGGTGGCCCAGAGTGGCTGCACCCACCGGGATGGGCTTTGCCACAGCCACAGCTCGCCCAGGATGGGGGCACGTGCCGAGGTGCTGGGTGAGATCACACCCCCTGCAGGAAGGGTTTCAAGATGCCAGGGAGGTCTGGGGATGTGGAATCCAGCACTTGGGAAATTCTCCGTGGAGGAAAATACTTCAAACATTTTTATTTTTTTTTTAAACTTTGGATTTATCAAAACGCCTTGTTCTGATTTTAGCTTTTTCCATTTTGAAGAGGGTCCAAGCTCCCATCACAGTGTGTTACTGCACAGAGTGTAACATTTGCAAGAGTAAAATGCAAAGTTGGTTTGAACTGGAAAATCGTGGCAATGTCATCAAAACAAAGGAAACGGGACATTCTGATGTTGTCAAAACTTTTTTTCCCCCTGGTTCCTTTCAAAATCAGCTGCCAGCAAAACCAGCCTGATTTTATGAGGCGTTTTAGTTTTTGGCAGCTGTGGCACAGCAGTTTCGTGGTGGTTTCTCTGGCTGGGCTCAGACACCCCCTGCTCCTGTTCCCTGGCAGTGACATGGGGGTGCAGTTTGTCCCCCCAGCCTCCACCACCCCTTGGCATCGAGGCAATGGGGGGGGTCCATTTCTCCACCCCATTTCTGAGGCACTAAAATAACCTATAAATCAAGCTGTTGCAACATTATATAAGTGGCAATTATTCGTTTTGTGAAAATATTACGTTTCATTTATTCGCGATTTAATTTTATATTCTGACCCCTGCATCCTTCTTTTTGACTAGAAATATACAAAATACTAGAGATTAAAAAAAAAAACAAAACAAAACAAAAAGGACAGAAAATGATGCAATTGATTTTCCTTCCTGAAAACCTGGAGCACCCTCAGTCTGTGCCTGCAGGTTTGGGCTCTGCTGATGGTGCTGAGGGTGCTGGTGTGGACACAGTGGCAGGGCTGGTCCCTTTTTCCCCCAGTCCTGGCTGCAGTTTGGCTTTGGGAAGAGGCTCCAGTGCCCTCCTGACCACCCACAGTCCTCCTGGACCCAGGAGGATTTGGCTTCCTATAGTACCTGGGAGATCCATGTCAGATAAGACTGGCAGGTTTTCAAAAGCTTCTCTTCAGTTTGTCTGCCAAGACCTATAGGATGTGTTCCAGAGCATCTCCCAGGAATGTTTGTTATTATGACAGGCAGGGGAAAAAGAAAAGGGGGGGGGGAAGGCAGTGAAAGAGCACATTGCTGTTAATCACTAGAAATCCTTTAATAACCAACATTACTATAAATTATATGTGCATTGTGACAAGCACAATTGAGGGCTCTGTTTTTCCTGCCCACATTAGAGCAGGGAACAATGTGCTGTTGTTGCAGGAGCCGGGATGGATGGCACTCCTGGTGGAATGGGGACTCCATCACATACCTGTGCCCCTGGAGATGCTGGGCTGCTCCAGATCCCATGAAAGCTCCATTGTTCTTCCTGCCATAGTGCACATCCATGATTATATAGCGTTGGATAAGCAGTAAGACGCTGCTTGCTGAAATAATACCCTGTCCTTGGTTTAAGCAGCGCTATATTTAAGATTTATATATATTTAAATGCTGGCAATTGCACATTGGTGGCATCTTATAATTTGGATGACAGTTTGTAAAGACAACGTTGGGAAGAAAAGCATCAGCTGCATTTAGGGAAGTGAATCTTGGGGTCATGCAGGACAGGGAGGTCAATGTGGATTTTAAACAAGTGTTGGAACCTCTCTGGAGCAGCCTCAGGATGGGCAGGGATCCTGTCTGGGTCCAAGATCCACCCCTGGAAGTGTCCAAGGCAGGTTGGATGGAGCTTGGAGCAACCTGGGATAGTGGAAGGTGTCCCTGTCCACCCCAGGGGGTGGAATGAGATGGGCTTTAAGGTCCCTTCCAGTCTAAACCATTCTGTGATTCCATGAGATCCAGGAAATCCCAGTTTCTGCTTCCATGTCTGCAGCTGGATTTTCTTTGCAGCTGTTTTGTGCCTTTTCACTTGCTTTTATTCCTGGACATGAAAAAAGGCATTTTCCCAGCCTGGTGGGATGTTGGGTGACCTCTGTCAGGGGCTCCAAACCGTGCTCCAGGTGTGAAATGGGGCTGCTCTGGGGTGGGTGAGTGCTGGGTCTGAGCCCCCAGGACAGCATTTCCACATAAACTGACTGGGTCAGTGCCCAAAACCAGCATCATCTGGGTTTACTCACAGTTGTTTCCTCCTCAAGGCAGGAGCCCATTGGAGGAGGACAGTGCTGGATGGACCATCAATCCCTTGGCCAGAGCAGTTTGGAACCCAGTGGCAGAGGCAGCAGGTCCCTTACAGGTTTGACATGATTTTTGACATTTTTAACCAGGCAAACCACACATTTCCTCAAACTCACCCAAAAATGGCAGGGAAAAAGGAGCTTTGCCCCTGGTCCTAAAAGGTCAGAAGGGGCAGAAGTGACCCCAAAGTCATAAGGCCTATTTCATACTGCAACTATGTTGGTGCAAACCTCAGTGGCACACAGTATTGATTCTAAATGGAGTATTTGGAGATCCCTAATGTTACACTGATTAAGTTTTCCATTAAAAAAAAAGTATTGTTTTTATCCATATTTAAATTATGTTCTTGGGTGTATTAGGGCAGGTTTGGGGAAATGTGACAGAAATTTGGACAGAAGCCTTCAAGGATGGAAAAAGCCACTCAAAGACTCCAAGAGAAAATTTTCCCTGGCCATTCAGGTTGTCCAGGATTTGTTGGTTGAAATGATTTTATTGGTTTGGTTTTGGGGTGTTTTTCCTTTAACCGATGGAGAATTAACTGCC